CTTTTTAAAAAAAATTTTTTTTTAAGTTTGTTTTAGAGAGAGAGCAGATGCAAGTTAACGGGGGAGGGACAGAGAAAGAGGGAGAGGGAGAAGGAGAGAGAGAGAGGGAGAGGGAGAGAGAGAGAATGAGAATCCCAAGCAGGCTCCACATGGTCAGCATGGAGCCCGACACGAGGTTCAAACCCACAGACCCAGTGAGATCGTAACCAGAGCTGAAACCAAGAGTTAGACAGATGCTCAACCGAATGAAGCACCCAGGAGCCCCATTTAGAGCTTCTTTCTAATCTCACAGCCAACAAAATATGGACTTATAACTACGCCTGAGCACATAATCTTAACATAAAGAATGAAACTAATGTTGCGTTTCACCATGTTACGGTGTCCTTCAGATCACATGGACTTCCACAGTGCAATAATAAAAAGGGCCACTTTAGCAAAATATTTGAGTTTCAGGTTTTCCTAAAACCTCTTATAGCCAGTCAATAATTTATCCATCTTTTATAGGGATAAAGTGAGATGTATTTCGAACAATATAAAATTCACTATTGTAAAGTGTACCCGTTCAGTGGTTTTTTAGTATATTCACTATGTTGTAGAACTTACCACGATTTTTTTAATGTTTTTTATTTATTTCTAGGAAAGAGAGAGAGAGAGAGAGAGAGACAGCATGAGCAGGGGAGGGTCAGAGAGAGAGGGAGATACAGACTCTGAAACAGGCTCTAGGCTCTGAGTTGGCAGTCAGCACAGAGCCCGACCCGGGGCTCGAACCCACGAACCGCGAGATCATGACCTAAGCGAAAGTCAGACGCTTAACCGACTAAGCCACCCAGGCGCCCCGAACTTACCACCATGATTTAATCCCAAAACATTTGCATCATCTGAAAACAAATGCTATACCTATTCAGTCTCTATTTCCCCCTCCAACCGTCCCCTGGTAACCAAGAATCCACTTTCTGTCTCTATGCATTTACCTATTCTGGACATTTCACATAAATGGAATCACATAATATGTGGCCCTCTATACCCGACTTCATTTCCTTACTATATATTTTCTTTTGCATTTTTCTTTACTTTTTAAAAGCTTATTTATTTTGAGGGGGAGGACGGAGGGAGGGAGACAGGGAAGCAGGCGCAGGGAGGGGCAGAGAGAGGGAAAGAAAATCCCAAGCAGGCTCCACACTCACAGTGCAGAGCCCGACATGGGGCTCGATCCCATGAACCACGAGATCATGACCTGAGCCAAAATCAAGAGTTGGATGCTCAACCAACTGAGCCGTCCAGGTGCCCCTCTTTTTTTATTTTTAATTGAAGTATACCTGACATATATTAGTTTCAGGTGTTGGCATAATATCTTATATATTATATAATATCATATATCATTATATACAATAGTTTTTTCAAGGTTCAGCAACGATCATGTGAAAGTAGCACAAAATGGCTCATTCCTTTTTACAGCTGAGTATTTCACCAAATGGAAAGAACACATTTTGCTTATCCATTAGCTGATGGATATCCAGGTCATTTTCCCTTTTTAGCTGCTATGAATACTGCTATCTGCTTTTCAGTGTCCAGTTCTTAAATGGGAGTATCACACCAAAAATCAACAGATATATGAAGAAAAGAACTTTTATAAAAGGTCTACATACACTAAATTGATAAGGCAAGGGGTGGGTGGGTGGCTCAGTCAGTTGAGAGTCTGACTCTTGGTTTCAGCTCAGGTCACAATCTTATGTTTCTTCAGTTGGAGCCCCGCATCAGGCTCTGTGCTAACAGCCCAGAGTCTGCTTGGGTTTCTCGCTCTCTCCCTCTCTCTCTGTCCCTCCCCAACTCACTCTCTCTGTCAAAATAAATAAGTTTTCTTTAATTAAAAAATAAAATACACACACACACACACACACACACAAACCCTGGGGAAACAGGGGCTATGCAGAGAGGAGAACTTTTAACTAACTACTTTAGACAGTTAAAAAAAAAAAAGCCATGCCCACGAAAACAAAAAAATAGGACCCTATAAAATGGAATACTCAGAGAATGAGAGTTCCATGAAACTAAAAATACACTAAAATTTTTTTCAATAGACTTGGAAGGTGAGAAGGCCTCCAATAAAGTAGAAAGAGAATAAAATAGAAAAAAGTTAAATGAAAAAAAATAACAGAATTTTAAGACTTGCAAGTTTTCAAAACTTTATCATCCACACGTCCTTTCCTCAGGATGATGAAAGGCTGTGACTTGCTCAAATTAGAGAGTAAATGACAACGTTTGTCCAATGTTGTCTAAGAAAGACAATGAAGGGCACAGGAGACAGAGATCCAACGCAGGAAAGAAGGAAATGCAAGTCCTGGGATAAGGATGGTAACTCCACAATAACCATCATGAACCAAGAATATGAAACTTATAGACCATGACATGTCTCTGATCATGAGAGATTTAAACATCCATAAGAGTCTGAAGCTATTTGATAGTAGGCATAAAGAAAATGAAATAATAATTCCAGAAAAAAACAAGAATCATGAAGGAAAGGAAAAGTAGTTACAGCATACTACATGACCTAGCTGTGCGAACCTTTTATGAAGTCAAAACAACAAATACTGACCTAAAATTTATAAGACAACTCTATAGTGAGGACTGAGGGGACAGGAAAGGTGTGTGTAAATGAAGGGCTGGAAGAAAGGGTACTTTCCGTAGCAAAAGATGCCTAAAACTGAAAAATTAAGTCACAAGAATGGCATGTTATTTAGAAATATGGAAGCAAATTATCAAAAGGATCCATTAAGAACAAAAAACAGTTACTCAAGGGGTGAGGTGTGCTTGGCATTTTTTATAATGGACTTAAGTGTTTGACCATTTTAAACTTTGTGCATGCATAAAAGAACGTGTGCCCATTCTGTTTTGAAAAGGCTAGGAATATAAAAATGTTCTGAAAAGAAGAAACCTTATGAAAGAATATATAATTACCTCTTTACTCATAAAAAGATAAAAAATATGTCTGTACTAAATTTAAAGGCTGTGAATGGCTTCTAAGTGAATTAGTGCTTTCCAGCAAGAATGAAGATTAAAGAAAAAAAAAGCTTCAAAATGATAAAACTTATTTTCCCAGCTTATTTAACTGCATACACTGTTCACCTAGCTAAAAAAAATTCTTCTATGGGAAGAAATTTATCTATCTATCTATCTATTTATTGAGACAGACAGACAGCATGAGCAGGGGAGGGTCAGAGAGAGAGGAAGACACAGAATCTGAAACAGGCTCCAGGCTCTGAGCTGTAAGCACAGAGCCTGATACGGGGCTTGAACCCACGAACCATGAAATTATGACCTGAGCTGAAGCCAGACGCTTAACCGACTAAGCCACCCGGGCGCCCCGTGAAGAAAATAATTCTAATACTAACTCAATATTTCACTTTGCTGTTATGGGGAAATATTTTTTTAAATTTTTTAAAATATTTTATTTCTAGGAGAGAGAGAGAGAGAGAGAGAAGAGAGAGACAGCGTGAGCAGGGGAGGGTCAGAGAGAGAGGGAGTGACAGACTCTGAAACAGGCTCCAGGCTCTGAGCTGGCAGTCAGCACAGAGCCCGACGCGGGGCTCGAACCAACGAACTGCGAGATCATGACCTAAGCGAAAGTCAGACACTTAACCGACTAAGCCACCCAGGCGCCCCTGTTATGGGGAAATATTAAAGATCCTTGGTCGATTAGTTGCTTCTAATGCTTCTGAAATACTAGTAAAATGAGTCTTAAAACAATGGCTAAAATCGGAGGCATAAGTTGATAGAAAAGTACATTCTAAGGATATGCGGATTCAAGCTTTATAACAAACACTAACAATTTTCTCGATGATCTTATGCAGCGGACTTGCCCCTCTGTGCAACCCTTTTCCTTTTCCTCCAACACAGTAAGCTGGGTCTCACCTCCGTGTCCTCCCTCACTCTGCCTGGCACACCCCCCCCACGGCGGGTTCCTTCTATTCAATCTGGTCTCAGTGTCAATACCACTGCTCACCAAGGCTGGCTGACCTTTCCGCCTAAAGTGCCCATCTACCCTTTGTGCTAGATTGCTCACTAGCGCCCTTCTCCTGCTGTGAAACGATCACATCCAGACTGCAGAGGAGACGCCCTATCTGCCACATTCACCACTTTACACCCCCCGCCCCAGGCCTGTAATAGAACTTGGGACATTATCAGGCACCCAAATATGCTGCAGGTGAAGGAATACACAAATGTTTACCTCCATGTTCTTGGTTTTGTTTTTAAGATTCTTAATACACTCTCCGTTTTTTTTTTTTTTTAACGTAACTTGAAAGAGTAAAACTCTAATTAGCAACCCCCTAACCTGCTTTGAAAAGACCAAAAGCATCTTTCAAAATGCAGTTGGGATGCTCCCACTAAAGAATTAGTAGCCATTTTTCTGAGGTCTAAATCGAACAGGAATCTCGTATTTTATTGGGCAATCCTAGTTGGGGGGAGTGAGGAAGACGGAAGAACCAGAACGGGCTGCGCTGAGTGAGGCAGAGCAGGCAGCTAAAGGCAGAGAGCAGCTCCAGGATGAGGAAGAAACCCGGAAGACATGTACAGAACAAGAAAAACGGGATCTACTGCTTCGTGCTGTCCAATCTAATTCACCCTGTGCCATCTCAGTAAAACTTCAGTAAAGGTATATAGAACTTTAAAAATAAAGGCAGAACAGAGACTATCTCCTCTGAGAAGGCTTCCCTTATCTCTGTATGAAAAAACACTTACTCCCAGGCTACCTTTGGACTTGGCTCATTAGCACTCCGATTGGTGTCTGTAAGCTCCAGAAGGGCAGAGATTAAGAAAGTGCTTCCCTCTGTATCATCAGCATTTAGAACAGCGTCTGGCACAAAGAGCCATTCAACATTATAATCTAAGAGCTACATCTAAATCAAAGTGAGATCAGTTATTTTAATTGTACTCTACTACGGAAATAAAAAAAGCGCAGCAACTTCAAAGCTTGGGGAGGTATACAATCAAAACATACTTACCGTTTCAAAAGTATTCAATACCACCAAAGGGAAAAAAACATTAAAGTAATCTCCACAGTCTTGAAATCTGACAGGCACCGGTCTTGAGATGGACTGACAAAGGCTTGTGGGGGGCCCGCACTGATCGAAGTTCACAAACATTTCGTACTTCCACTTTAAGACCTCTTTAACAAAGGTGTCAGAGATGGACTGCGAGGACAGGACAATGTTTACTGCAGAGGAAGCCGAAAAAGATTTGCTTTCGCCAAACAGAAATTTGTAACCTTGCCTGTTGGAATTATTTGGAGTCTGAGGACGAAGAACATTGGACAAACTCTTCAGTTCACCCACTGGCTTTGGAGACAACGGAGAGGTTGGCTGTGGAGCTTTCGAAGCAGACGGCACCCCGTTGGACTTACGTTTTAGGGACGGCGGCAGTGCAGAGGTACTTTCCAAAGACTTGGAAAGATTAGCAATTCGTGAAGTACTTCTCGAGCTAAACACCTTAGTAGTGGAAGGTCTCTTAGACGCGTAGAGGGGCAAGCCCGGTTTACGAAACACATCTTCATCCTCTGCTTTAGCTTCACAGTGTTTCGAGCAGTATTCACCCTGGTTTTGTGGGGTTTCAACACATTCCTTGTACTTACACTTTGTGCCACTCCAAGATTCTTCCTTCGGAGCTGTATCTTTCCCCTGACCTATCTCAATAAGCTTCTCACTACCGTTCGCCATTTGTGAACATAAATCCATATCTTCAGGGTCACGCTGTGTTAGAAATAGATTCTCATCCTCCGAGTCACTGTTGGATTCAAGCTTTCTCTCTTTCAAAGTGGTCAACTCTACATGATGTCCTGCTAGGTCACCTCCGCCTAAAGGGTCAGCTGACGTAGAGGCAATGACTTCATCTGTTGGTATTCTTCCGTTTAACACAACAGAAGCACTCTGGGTCAAAAGGCAAGGATCATCAGCCACCTGAGAAACACATTTGGTTTTCACGGGTTCTGGTTCGGAAGACACACGCTTTACTGATCGTTTCCCAGTATTGCTGGCACGCACCTCAGCGCCTCCTTTAGAACTACGATCTGAGCTATCAGATTCTGGGACAAGCGTGTCAAGATTCTGTGCCGAATGCCGACCTGCTCTTCTGGTACCTGTACTTTCAGAACCCAGAGATCCTTGCCTGTTCTGTTTCGATTTGTGTTTCACCTGCCTTCGTGACTGAAGATCTTGGCTTGTCAACAGCTTCTTATTATTTTTGACGGAGAGAGTCTGAGGAGAAATTAATTTAGTCTTTTTTCTAGTATCAACCACTCCAACAGTTTTGCCATGGTCGCGTAACTGAGCTACATACCCTTGAGATCGCTGAGATAACTGAAACGCCCTACGAGGAGCCTTTTTCAGACCCAGTTTCTCAACAGCTGAAGTTGGTTCAGGGTACTGGCGAAGTATCTTTGGTGGGACTATAGCAGGAGTTGTCCTACAACTTATGTAATTTGAACTTTTATTCTGCCCTTTTTTGGTTTCTGAATGTGTTTTCTTAGAAGTTTTAGAATGCGGGACTCTCCTGATGGGTTTGGAGTAAGTACGAAGCTTTGGAGATTTCTTTCGTGAAATCGGAGAGTCTCTCTGAATATTCGAACTGGGACTAGACCTTAGCTCTGTACTTTTAAGATCATTTTCAGTCAGACCTCTCTCATTAAGAATATCAGACTGGTCCTCGTTTCTCTCAGAAGGTGAAGGCCTCAGAGGATCTTCAGCTACAGGTTTTTCATATCGTTTTCTCTTAGGTTTTTTTACTTCAGTTTCGCAAAATTCCCCAACAGAACTACTACTCTGTGCTTCTGTGTGTTTTTCAATGCCCTCTGCTACTTTCTTAATAACCTCTTCAGATACATAATCTGTATCATAACCCCAGTCATTTGTGACATCGTTTATGTGAGTCAAATGTGAATTTTTTTCATCCTCTTGAACTGAATTCTTGTCTGGTTCCTGATCGTGCCAAACTGAAAACACGTCATGTGGACTTTCAAACTCAAAAAACTGAGAATCCGATTCCTCAAACTCCCACAGGGACTTTGTCTCTTCTTCCTTTATTAGATTCTTTTCCACATTTGCACCAGCTACTGAAACACACTCCTCCGGGTACTCCTTCTTGATGCTTCTTTTGTCTTGTTTGATGTGTTTCTCAAAACCCAAAACTCCTTCATCGCCATCATCATCTTCGGAATCTGAAATAATAATCACCTGGCCCTGGCAGGCTTCGCCAGCATTATTTGGGTTAACTGTGAAACATCTTTTACCTTTTACTTTCCTTTGTAGCTGGGACGAGTTTTGGGCTGAATCTGATGGAAACTTAATAACACTGGCTTGAGCTATTAAAGATAAGTCGTGGAGGTCGCGGTCGACCTGGGAGTCCGTCAAGGCTTCGGACTGTGGACTTAGGCTGGGAGGCTGGTCTCTCAAGTGAGAAGACACCTGACTGGTGGTACTCTTGCTAACTTCCTTACCTCTTGATTCAAGAACAGTCATGGGATTTTTGAAGGGCAAGGTTTTCTTCACACAAGGATCAGTCATTTCCGTCAATGAGACCAAATCTTTATCATCGGCCTGACGTTCCTGTATTTGACGGCTATTTTCACGGGAAGAGAAGATATCAAACTCTTCACTCTTTAATTGTTTCTTTTTCAGCAATAAACTGTTTTGAGATTTTCGTTCCCCATTTTTATCATCGGGAATGTCATTAGGGTCTAGAGAGAGATGGTTTATGAAGCCCTCCCCTTTCTGACCTCCTGAATCTTTCTTTGAAAAGAAACTGTCAATGGTAGCCACAGTTAGGTTTTCCTCTAAATTGACAGCATCATTGACCGAAGTACTTTTCCTGTGTTGCTTCTTTATCACATGTGATAACTTAGCGCAGATTTCGGCTTTCTGTGGCTTAGTTTTTGCTCTCAAGGTTTTGCCAAAAATATCATCCTTGAAAGAGAAATCCTCAGTTGATGTGGACGCCTTTGCTAGAGAGTCAATGCCAGAATCAGTCAACGAGTGTGCTGACACTATCACCACTCTGTCACCTCCCCTTTCGGGACCATTTCTGGAAGTACGATTCTCTTTCACAGACTTATGCTTCCCTTTACTTGTTTTAACTGGGTCTTGAGCTCTGTCAGTGAAAAGGCTTTTACTACCCTGCTTTATGCATGACTCAGCTGAGAGATGGTCTTCCAATTTCAAATCTTTTACATAATTTTGCTTATTATCCTCTCCTATAGTGTTACTTGCTTTGATTGATATATTCTCTTGCATTTGATATGCCTCTGCTTTCATTGGTTCTTTAGAAAATGTTGGGCTGGAGCTTTCCAGACAGAGCAGGTCTTTTTTAGACTTCTTCCCTATCTGCTTACTTTCTTCTTTATTATAAGACGCAGGAGGGGTTTTACAAACAGGGGCCAGATCCACAAAAGTGCTACATGGAGGTACTTTTAATTTTATGTTCCTAATAATTTGCTTTAAACAAGTTTGTAACTCATGGGTTTCCTGAGTAGTCAATTGCCAACCTAGAGACAAATTTCCACGCAGAAATAAGTTGAGCTTATCCCAGAATCGCTTGCACAGAGTTTGCTGCCCAAGCTGATAACCTTCTTTAAGGAGACTTCTAATGAGCTGCACACAAGCCAGCTGGACAGAGTTAGATGGCATCGAATGTAACGACAGAGATGATATCATTGCTGTTCCTTTGGAACAATTTCCAGACGACTTCTCGGAACTCCGTGCAAATGCAGTGGTAGGAAGCTTGGCGCATTTTACAACAGCCTCCACCCACTGCTGGGAGCTAACCCACAGCAAGTGCAAACATTTTTTATTTCTGTGCAGCTCAATCACGGACACCAAAATTAGAAGAAAAAACTCAGTAACTTTGTCGCACACAGCATCTGTTTGGTTGAGGACATCTTTGACTTCAGAGTGCAGATGGTGAATAACCTCTACTATATAAGCCACACCCAAATCCTTAAGATCCATGAGGGACTGAACAAAAGGGATGAACCACAGAAACGTGCTGTTGTGAACACGCATGTCTTGACCAATATCTGACTGAAGCACGCTGGCTAATGTTTCCATCTCCTCATACATGTTAGGACAGTAATCTGGGCAAATGGCTGATCTCCACCCAGAATCCTAAATGGAAAGAAAAACGGACATTCAGATAGGCAAGCACCATTCATGGTGGGTTTAACACACAGTTGTAAACGAGAAAATACACTGCTTAGTTTTCCTACTTTGGTTGACATGTACCTACACATACCCCAAAGAGATGGAAAACATAGGTCAAGGGTACATGAGTACTCCTCCACATACCACGGTCTCAGCTGGTTTTGATTCTAGTTGTGTCACTTATATCCCCCCATCCCACAGCCCCACAGCCTCTCCACCCTTCCTAACTGCCCTTAATCATCCAAAGGGTGCACCCTGAAGAGTCCATTTGTCATAGCACACGATACATCTGCTATTCAATCAGAAACCCCTTACATGGCAGCTGATTCAGAACAGCTACGTATCATAAAGTCAGCAAGTCAACCAATGAGGTACAACATCGTCTCTACAGAGGCAAGACGGTATCTGAATTCTCAAAATGTTTTATACCTTTTTGGTCTTTTCAGGATTATAATTGTATACAATCTGGCTGCAGGACACCATATTATCCGAATATGACTCCGGGTCTAACTTGGTCCTTAAATAGTAAGAATAAATTGAAATTATTGAAATGAAGAAGATTAAAAAAAAAAAAAAAAGGAAAAAACCTATTGTTAAGTCGGTTACAATAGACTTCCTCACGGAGATTATTTTAAAATTCTGACACACTGGGAGCACCCGGGTGGCTCAGTCGGTTAAGTGTCCAACTTCAGCTCAGGTCACGATCTCAAAGTTCGTGGGTTTGAGTCCCACGTCGGGCTCTGCACTGACAGTTCGGAGCCTAGAGCCTGCTTCAGGTTCTGTGTCTTGGTCTCCCTCTCTGCCCCTTCCCCACTCACGCTATCTCCCTCTCTCTCAAAAATAAATGAACATTAAAATCCTGACACATGAACTCAACTAACCTTACAGAGCTGTTCCGTATATTCTGGATCTCTCTATTGTAGCTCATATTGTTGATTATGGTCTGAAATGCCTCAATAGGATCAATGCGTTGACCCCAGACCTTTGATCCAAGGCGATCCAGAATCACCATGAAACAGTGTAATGCTGGCCAGAAAGGATCCACGCTATCATCTGAAATGCAACGGAATAACTGCTGCATTACGAAACAATTAGAAAAAAATGTGAAAATATGTTGAGGATTAGGCATGCTTTATCTGGGCAGCCACAAAACTGAAAGCAAAGCAGCAAGTCATTGAACACAAAGTGCCGCCAAACACACCGGTTTTAAAAACCTGGTAAATTTAAAGTTCCTTTTGCATTTTAAGCAATACTATACGCCACTAAGCAAGTTTTTAAAGAGAAGCAAACTGAGACAGTCTAGGTAAACTCACCATTCTCATCCTGTGTGCACACCTGAAACCATCCTTCCTACCAAACAAAGCCCGTCGTACGGGAAATTGTGGGTTAGCATGAACTGTGTTTTGTATGCCATCTGGCTGCTGTAAAGGTCTGAATCCCTTAGCTAATGGCTAAGTAGATACACACCCTTCATCATCCACCCGTATCTCAACATGGCTTTGTTCTCTACTTTTCATCCAACTGGCAGGAATTCCCATCACTCAGAAGTTCTTCCCTCCAGTTTTTCCCCTCCTATCAGATATGCAGTGGCTAAATACTGCCCGACTCAAAGGCCTTCAATTGCTCCTTAATGTCTTCCCAGAAGATTCATAGTCCTCCGTCTTGCGCTTATAAGATCCTACTCTGTTGTTTCTTTCCAGCTTTGTTGTCCACACTCCCATAATCAGACCTGACCTATAGCAAAAACAGATAGCTGGCTTCTCCCCAGGTGAGAAGCAGAATGCCTTCACTGCTAGCACCACCTAGCAAACTCCTACGCATCCTTCCAGCCCAGCTCCAATGCTCCTACTCCCTGGTCATGTGATCTCCTACAGCACTGTTCTGACACGGTGCTCATTCAGTTACAGATATTCTCTGGCCACCCTAGAACTTTCTGCGTTATTTTCCTCAGGGCTCTTAAACTCTACTTTTCTCTTTTTTTTTGTTTTATCATAAGCGTTTGTGTAGACCTTCTCATATACTTTCTTATCCTTTCCTGCAGCTGACACAGTATCTTTTGCCTAGTAAGCTCTCAAGGAACAAAGTCATCAATTAGGTGAAGCCCATTTCGAAAGGTTTCTTAGATCACATGACTCACATTTTGAAGGTCAGGGGAGCTGGATTAACAGAGAAGGCAGAATTGCATGGGCAAGGCACAAAGAAATGAACTATTAACGTAGTAAATGCTGGTAAACGAATTAGTTATAACTTTGAGAATAATCTAGCAAGAAAACCGATGCAATCAAAAAACGAGTAACAATTATATAGCTCTTTTGGAATCTTGCACAATTGAGTTTATATCCACAGTGGAGTCGCCTAAAGGCAAGCAAGTGTGGGGGGAAATTATATTCGTTATGCGTAGGATGTGGCATCCTTCATCATTATTCATTCCTTCATCAAGAGGAGAAACATTCATTACCGATCCTCCCTCATCAGCCTAATACAACCACAAGCAAAAGAAAGTTAGGGTCTAATAATAAACATTACTAAGAGTTTTACACACTGTTTTCTAAACTCTGAAGAGCACTGTCCCAAGAGTACTTTCTGTGATGACGGACATGTTCTTTACTTACGGTGTTCAGTACTAACCACCAGGTACATGTGGCTACTGGGCACTGGAAGCACAGTTCATGGGACTGGAAAACTGAATTCTGTCTTTAACTCTAATTAACCTAAATGCACACAGCAACATCTGGCTAGCAGTCACCATGTTACACAGTGGAACCCTAGAAAACCAAGAACCAGGAAAAAGGACGCCAGAAGGACAGTTTTAACTACCACATCCCCGGAAATGTACCTGCCAGTCTTGATTCTACCACTAGCGGGGCATTTCAACATGAAAAAGTAAGTTAACCCCCCTGGGCTTCAGTCTCATCCTTTATGAAGGGAAAGTGTTGAAATTAAACTCTAAAGGTCACTTCCAATTTAAAAATCTAAACTGATGACTGAACCAGAAAAAATGTCCATCCTTGTTTTTTCCACGCCATCCACCCAAATTCTTGCAGTGACACTAGTATTTTCAAAGGGCTCATCACAGCATTCAAAAGCACATAGCACATAAAGATCATTACCGTCTGCTTGCCTCTCCATGGTGTGAAGTATGGACTGCATGAAATCATTCTGTTTGTCTGAGCCCAGCAACAGGGAGTCCATGGCCTGCTCTTCAAGAATGGTCAGCAACATGCAAATACCTGTAAGATCATTTACAGTTTTCCTGACTTGATGACAGAACACTGTTCTGATGCCTTCTCAGGCTTAGCTGGCAAAAGAGTAACAAGGCAGTAAAACGAAGCAAACCAGGATCCAGTTCCTCCAACATTTAAACCTGAGATATTCATACACAACTGCTCCCATGTAACAGGACTTTAGACCGACGTGACAGAAAAAGGGAAATGGTGCAGACTTGGTTAGAAAACAGTTTCGAAGAGGATTACCACACAATTCGTATTTCCTCAAATCCAGGATGCCTACCATTTTGAAGATGACCATGGTTTGAGTACTCATCACTGCCAAGCAGGACAGTGGCTGTAGGACTTAGAATCCGTGCAGCAGGGTAAACCTATTTTGAGTCGGTGTAGAACCTGCTGAAAACCAAAGCTAGCATCTCTTTCACCAGGAAATAGTCTACAGACAGGGACACCTCTCATATCAAATCCTAGTCAAGTCCACTGCTATACTAACATTTTGTTGTATCTAGTATTGCTTTAAATAAAAGATTGATTTGCCACACTCGAACATGTACCTCTTACAAAGACGGTTTCTAGAATAAAGCGTCAAAACAAGAGGTGTAATGGCTAAGTCAATATAATGACAGAACAAGAATTGGGAGCTATGAAATCCTTCATCGACTCACCAAGAAAGAGCTTCCTTTGCAAAAATACTCACTGAAAATTGTAGAGAAAGACTAGTTGTGTCTGTGCAGGAACAATACTCACCCAACCAGTAGTTCTTGTAGTTGGTGGTATCGTACATGTGGGCAGGTAGAAGGATCAGTTTACCCTTCTCGAGGACAGAGGAAGTATAAATGTCCGGATCTTCCAAAAGTCCCAGCTCGATGACTTTAAAAAGGCAAGTTAAAACTTCCTGCAAGTCATAATAGTCATCTCTGTCCACTTTTCCCAAATTCCTTGCGGTCAGGATAGCCCAACGTCGAACCTAAAGGCATAACATGTTTGTTACTTCATTTGGTGAGTAACTGTCCGTGTGAAGCAAGAACCTAAGTGAGAAAACAGGATTGTCTATTTGAAAAGACACCAGATACTCATCATGCAATGGTCAGACCCTATTTGATTCTGATTGGAACTAACCCTAAAAAAGCATTTAGGGGATAGATCATCATCACTTCCATCCATTTAAATGCTGATTAGAAATATGACACTAAGAAATTATTACTTTGGGTGCGGTGACAGCATTGTTTCATTTTTTAAAAACCCTTATCTTCTAGAGACATATTTAAGTATTTTACGGATAAGATGCTCTGACGTCTAAGATCCGCTTTAAGTAACCCAGAAAGCAACACAGTACTGACCACGTATCGATAACTGAGAAAGCTCAGTGATGGACAGAAGGGGGTTCATGACACCATTCGACTTTTGTATGTTTGCAATTCTCCAGAAAAGAAAGTTAGGGGGGAAAAAAAAGTGAAGCCTCAAAAGAAATCAAAAGTCACCTCTAAATGGCAATATAGCAGAGAGAAGTGACTTTAAAAATTCTTGTGGGCCATGAATTAAATCTAGTAATCGCAATCAACCTTAACTAAATAAAACAGGACAGAAAAAGACCACAGTGCATCTTGCATGGCAGAAGGATTCTGGGAAACGTTCAGCTGACATGTGTGGGTACTCAGCGAAAACCATTTTTTACTGCAGATGGCCAAAAGTTTGAGAAACGGGGCTAAAGGACACAGGAATGGGCTGGCTCCATGAATTTTAAACTTTGGGGAAAAAAACAAAGGAATGTGTGAGTCCATACTGATAACAGGTAAATAAATGGGAGAAAAGAAAAAGGCTCCTGATTATTATAGTGGAATCAACATCCAGGACTGCCCGGCATCATGTGTAGAGTGCTGGGGTTGGAAAATTATATTGCAAATCTTAGAAAAAAGTGACTCGGGCAAAAGCATCAGTTAACGCTCTATTTAGGAGAAAATTCTGGTGAGAAGCAGGGCACTTCTGTGGTCTCCCGATATCTACGAAAGAGAAATCAGACGGTGAGGAAATGGGGCACCACCTCGACTAGCTGATCAAAATGAACATAACCACGTAGAGCAAGGGACACAGTGCACCTGTGTGGGTGACACTGAGGAGGACAGAGCATTACTTCTATGCAGTCCTCCAACTGGGAGCGTGTAGCCTGAACCTAACAATGAGGAAACATCAAACCCCAAATAAGGAGCAGTCTGATTTTAAAAAGGGCCAGCAGGCGTGTGGGGGGTGGGGGGTGCAGGGCTGACGGTACTCTTCAGAAATGTCATAAAGGACAAAGGCTGAGGAAATAGTCCATATTAAGGGGGAACAAAGCAAAAAGCTAAACAAAGCCCAGGGACCATGGAGCCAGGCTGCCTCCAGGCACAACCTGGTCACCACGCACTAGTCTTGATGGCTGTGGCCAAGTCGGACTCAATTTCCTCATCTATAAAATGCAGACATTACCTACCCCACAGGGCTGTTGTAGGGTTTAAATGAATTAACAGCTGGAAATGACACAATACTGCACCTGAAATACAGTAAACCTGAATATTTGCCATCGTGATAAGCCTTTATCCAAAAAAGCAGTAGTTTACTTAGCACGACTGCCAGAACAGTATCAAATGGCTGACCTTAATTTTCACTGAATAAAGACTGTTGGTGCAAGAGTACCTCAGCTGTCTGAAAGGTCACTTCACTTTCTCTCTCAAATGGTACTTGGGCACTTGCTTCTAGATCGACAGCTACAGCTCTCTAGCACACGGAAGATCCTCTTTCACGGTCTTTGAGGCTCTACTCTGGCAATGGAGAAGCGGACTGCATCTCTGTGGGAGGTAGTCTTTGGCTCCCTCCGGACCGCTCCGTCTTTATTTTTTTTAATGTTTATTTTTGAGAGAGAGAGACAGAGCAAGAGCAGGGAGGGGCAGAGAGAGAGGGAGACACAGAACCAGAAGCAGGCTCCAGGCTCCGAGTTGTCAGCACAGAGCCCGCCGTGGGCTCGAATTCAGGAACCGCGAGATCATGACCTGAGCCGAAGTCGGACGCTTAACCGACTGAGCCCCCTAGGCGCCCTAAGACTTCTCTGCCTTTAAGAGCCAGAAGTATTTTCCACAGTTACCCGGCTTCTAATCGTTTCCCTCTCCAGCCCTGTGTCTGCATTATAAGTAACTTGGTTGTCTTCCAAATTCATGAAGTCTCTCTTCAGCCACACCTAAGTAGCCATTCAATCCAAGTTTTTAATTTTATGTGTTTCATTGCTACCTATTTTGCATCCTTAAAAATAGGGTTTTCAGGTCCCCGTTCTATTGAAGCACTTTATATACTGTGTATCTGATCATTCTAATAAAGGAGTTCTCTGGGTACATTTGCTTATTTCTATCTCCACTCACAGAGTGGTTTTGTTTTAATTTTGCCAACTCAGTTGGGATATACCTGTGGGCATCTGGCAAGGACTCAGCTGATGACTGTCCCTCTGGAAAGGATTTGCAATGGTTCCTGCACATTATCAAGCAAGCTGGCAAATAGGAAGCTCTCTTAGAATCAGAGGGCTTGGGTTACAAATTTTTGTGAAAGCCCTTTTCCCCCACCTGGGTTTCAGAGACAGACACATTTCTGTCTTGTCCCTTCAGCTGTGAATTACTCTCTGCTACCCTTCTGACAGTGTGGCCCATCAAAGGTCTGTTTTAAGGTAGAGCCTCTATTCTAATTCCCTATTCTTATGCCTTAACATACATCTGTGAAACCCACACTCTTAGGTCGGACTAACTTTGGCTAACTCTCTGGGGGACTGTAGCTTCCAGTTCCCTGTCCATTGTAACTGTGCCTTCATGGATAAGCGTATAAACCCTGTTATATTTTATCTGCTGTAGCTGTTTCAGAGGAGTAACAGTTTTCAGTTTACAGGGACATCCGACCACCAGAATCGGTCTCGCGCTGACATTTAGTTTGGATGAGGGTTACGGTCCAAGACCTCAGAATCAAGGCTACGTATAACCTTTCATTCTTGACACACTTCCATCATGCATAGTGGGTCCATGCACGGCCCACTTTCAAGTTTTAGTCTTTATTTTTAATGCAACTAATCCAACATCCATCCACAAACTCACCATCCAATACAAAACTACGGCCCCTTCAACATAACATGCATCCCTCATCTTCTTGCCCCCTCCAACCTGAGCTGACCTGAATCCCATCTTCATCCCCCTGCTTGCTTTTACACAGTTACTGCATCTACCTGTATTCCTAAAAAATATTCTTTTATTTATAACTTTATAAAAAGGGTTTCCTCCTATATGTAATCTCTGGAGACTATGTCACTTAACAGCCTATTACCAGGATTCATCTATTTTGTTTCAAGTTGACAGTCTGTTTAGACAACTACAGAATATTCCAGCACGTGAAGACATTCAGTTGACTCACGGACTCCCGTCACCAACAGCCATCCTGGCTGTTTGCAGGTTTCTGTTAATTCTGAGAAGTGTGCTCTGAAATTTCTTATGTACGCCTCCTGTTACAAATGTCCGAGAGTATCTTACGCATACACTCTGGAATGAAACTGCTGGACCATAGATAGATGAATGTTGAAATTTAGAGGAGGCCAAATGAGTCTGCCAAGTTGACTGCTCCGAGTTACCACTCCACCAGCAAGGACGTGGTCCTCCAAGTTCCAGAGCCGTATCCTAACCCCTGCAGCCTCCAACTACTACACGGGCACAACCCACGATCTCACTGTGGTTCTACCATGTCCCTTGTCATGGATGTCAAACTGTCCTTCCCATGGCTATTAACCACAGGCACTTCCTCTTCTGGGAAATGCCTATTCAGGTCTTCCTTTTTTCTCTTGGAGTTTTGTTATCGTTTACAGCTTCTCCCAATTTTTAACTTGTCTCTTCTCTTTAAGATGCATTTTTAAAAACACAAGTTTTCAATTTTGATACAGTTGTATCTATCAACCTTCCTTTTAGAATGAATGCTTCCTTTTAAAGAAATCTTTCCGGGGCACCTGGGTGGCTGAGTCGGTTGGGATTGTGACTTCGACTCAGGTCACGATCTTGCAGCTCGTGGGCTGGGGCCCTATATTGGGCTCTGTGCTGACAGCTCAGAGCCTGGAGCCTGCTTCGATTCTGTGTCTCCCTGTCTCTCATCCCCTACCCCACTCACACTCTCTCAGAAATAAACAAACATTAAAAAAAAAAGAAATCTTTCCTTACCCTAAGATCTAAATTATATATGTATATATATAATGTCCTGGCAATTTGGGATCCTTCCTCTTCCATATACATTTTTTATCTTTGTCATTTTTTTATTTATTTTATTAAGTAATATCCACACTCATTATTTATTCATTTATTAATTTATTTAAGTAATCTCTACACCCCTGGGGCACTCAAATTCATGACTCCAAGATCAAGAGTCACATGACTGAGCCAGCCAGGCGCCCCCTTTGTATATATACATTTTTTACAACCACCTTAACATGTTATATTAAAAACCCTGTTGGAATTTATTTAAAAACATTCTGAATCTACAGATCAATTTGGAACTGACATCTTTCTGTTACTAAGCCTTCTTATCCATGAACATACGATCTTTCTTTACTTAGACTCTTTCATATGTTAATTTTTATGATTTTCCTGTAGAACTTTTATATCTTTGTTAGATTTATGCCTGGGTATTTAACACTTTCTGAATCTGTAATAAATGGAAACTTGCCTGTATTAATTTTTGGCTGCCTGTGTACAGAAATATCACTTTTACAAACACATCTCTTATCTAGTCACCTTGATAAACACCTATTTCTCAAAACCTGTAGATTCTTCAGGGTTTCATGTAAATGATTTTGCTGCAGATAGTGGCATTTCACCTCTTCCCTTCAAATTCTAATACCTCTACTTTGATTTTCTAATCTTTTTTACTGCATTTAACGGAACCCCAATCTAACACTCTATAGAAGTAAGAGTGAGCACCTCTATTTCTGATTTTAAAGGGAATGCTTCACTAAAGGTCAATTTGGGTAATGTTTCTTTTAGGCTTTTTACACATATTGCGCATCAGGTCCTTTCATTCCTAATTTGCTAAGAATGTTTAATCTGAATGGGTGCTGAATTTTATCAAATGGTTTTCTGCATCTATTCAACCACATGGGTTTTTTGTTATTAAGGTGAAATTACATTTATGGACTTTCTAATATTTTGTTTAGGATTTTTGCATCTATGTTAATAACTATAATTTACCTGTAATGTGGTAGGTGTCTAGTTTCTGTTAGAATACTGGCTTTATAGAATAAATTTAAGAGTATTCTTTTTCTGGAAGGACAGACATAAAATCAGGATAATCTGTTTCTATGAAGTGTGGTAGAACTCCCTATAAAACCATCTGAGCCTGGTATTTTTGTTGTAGAAATATTTATCAATGGTTCAATTTAGTTAACAATTATCATAGTCAATTCTAGTAAGTTACATTTTTCTCAAAATTATTTTATCTGTTTTCAAGACTGCTGGCATTTCCTTTGAACTTCATTTGCAACTACATGGATGGAAACTAGAGGGTGTTATGCTAAGCAGAATTAGAGGAAGACAAATATCATAGGGCTTCACTCATATATGGAATTTAAGATATAAAACAGGTTAACATAAGGGAAGGGAAGCAAAAACAATATAAAAACAGGGAGGGGGTCAAAACATAAGGGATTCTTAAATATGGAGAACAAACAGGGTTGTTGGAGGGGTTAGGGGAGCGGGGCTGGGCTAAATGGGTGAGGGTCACTGAGGAGGACACTTGTTGGGATGAGCACTGAGTGTTATACATAGGAGGTGAATCACTGGAATCTACTTCTGAAATCCTTGTTGCACTACATGCTAACTAACTTGGACGTAAATTAAAATAATAAATAAATAAATAAACCTTAAACCAAAAAAACCAATAGCTCCGCCAGCTTTGATTAGGTCAGTATTTGCCTATTAGTTCTTTTTCAATCTCTCTTACGTCTTTTTTGCACCCGATGTTTTAGGTGTTTCTCTTAGAAACAAAACTACGTGGATTTCATTTTTTTTGTAATCCAATCTAATCTTTGTCTTTTCACTGACAAATTCAGCCCACTTACATTAAACACTGATATCCTTAAACCTGTTTCTTTGTATGAACGATTTTTCTATATTTCTTCTAAAGCATTTTTTTTTTTACCTTCTAAAATAATTCACTACCTAGCTCTGCCCTTAACAAGACAAAGGCTAGCAGGCACGCTCTCACATCTTTCGTGCCCGTGCCCGCCAACCCCAGCACGTTGTTACTACCTAGTCCAAGCTATTATCGATATATTCACTTTCTTCAAACTTAGCTGTTTTTGAATAATAAACTTGACCACAGTATTCAACCAACTGTATATATTTCTTATGCTACCTCCTCAATTCTTCACTCTCTCATGTCCCTCATTCAGTGTCAGTCTAGCATCAGCGACTCGGGCTGCCAACCACCGGTCACATCAGGGAAGGGTCCTGCAGTCTCCATGGTGAAGCCTCTGAGCACTCGGCCGGGGTCCGGGGTGCCCCGCTGGGCCTGCTTCCTCTGTAGCTATGCAGCTCTAGAAGGCCGGTCCGAGAGAGCACCTGGCCATGCGGTCGGTTTTCTCTCACAGGCAGGGGAGAGTCGACTTTGTGCCCCGGCCTGGACTGGCTCTCTGCCTTCCCTGGAGTACGCCTGCAGCTGCTATTGCTCAGCCCAAACTGTAGCCCCAGCTACCCAGAAGCACCCAGACCTAGGAGTTCCCACCATTTATTACTCGGTATCTCTGCTTGGTAAGAAACACTCACCTTTTGAGCAGTGTGATTATACACTTTTAACAGTTTGCTATTCCAGACCAAATACACAGCGAGACCCTCTATTCCAGCCACCTCTACATGGAAAAGTAAAATACATCCTTTTAGTACCTACCCCTCATACTCACCATTTCGTTGGGATGGACCAGAAACAAATAAATGCCTGGATGTTTGTCGAAAACCTGAAAGGAGCAATTAGCTTGTTCCATCCGACAAAGTGCTTCGACACATAATTCGTCTAAATAGAAAAAAGAAGACAGTAAATGGAAGACGTAAACCCTATCAGCTTATCAAGAGTCTTTGGTTGTTCTGTAAGTAAATAAAAACCTTGTTCCTTTCCTTTTTTTTCAAATGAGGAATAAAAATGCTGATAACGTTAAGTTCAAGAACAACATTTATTCATCATCTGAAAGACTAATCTCGTGTGACTGATCACAGTGTGCTCCTACGAACTATTGTGACTTTACTGGTGTGTATATACTTTTTTCTTACACTTGGCATAATTGGCATAAATATATCCACAGGGTATCTTCTCAGAAGTATGATTTTAAGTCCAGTGCCATTAGCATTTGACATTTTGATCCACAGGGACTTTATCTGGTACTAGCATGATAAAGTGAGCTTTTCCCTCAAATGGCTATTTTGTCCTACTCTCATTTATTAAATTAATTCACTTTCTCCACTGCTTTGAAATGCTACCGTCATCCAACACTAAGTTCCCCAAATAAGCCTGGTTTATTTCTGGTGTCTATACTCTTCCACAAGCCTATCCCTGCTTCACTGTTCTAATTCCTATTGCTTTATAGAAATCTCCACGGCTCTTTCAGAAGTGTCATGAATCAGGATGCCTGAGTGGCTCAGTCAGCTGAGTGTCTGACTCTTGACTTTGGTTCAAGTCATGATCCCAGAGTCCTGGGATCGAGCCCCATAAACTTGCCTGAGAGTCTCAGTCTCTCTCTCTCTCTCCCCCTCTGCCCCTTCTCCACTGTTTGTGCACTCGCTCACTCTCTCTAAAAAATAAAAATCTGAATAAAAAGAAGTGTCCTGAATAGGCTCATACATTTAGTCTACACCTAATGAAGCACCTTTACTTTGTCAAACTTGAAAGAACTGTTGTTAGTGATAGCAGATGGCTTTGTGGAATAGTGTTAATAACTGGAAAAGCAGGAAGGAAGGTTTTGGGTACTGATATTTTGTTTCTTGATCTGGGTGCTGGCTACACAGGTGTGTTTATTTCGTCATCATTTATGTGTTTTTCTTGGATATACTATTCATTAATAAATGTTTGAAAACCGACTTGTTAGCATTTTAAAAACAAATTATTTATAATTTATTTAAAATTTTTTTAACTTTTCCCCCCAACATTTATTAATTATTGAGAAATAGAGAGAGACATAGCAGAAGCAGGGCAGGGGCAGAGAGAAGGGGAGACACAGAATCTGAAGCAGGCTCCAGGCTCTGAGCTGTCAGACAGAGCCCGATGAGGGGTTCAAACCCACAAACTGCAAGATCATAACCTGAGCCAAAGTCGGGTGCTTAACCAACTGAGCCACCCAGGTGCCCCTTTATAATTTACTTAGAAAGAACTGATTTATCTGACCGAATATTTAGATCTACTTTTCAGTTTACTGAAAATTCAGAGAATAAAGAAGGTAAATAGCATCACAAGGAAGCAATTTGAAAAATCCAGAAGGTGCATTATTCTACAGCATAACTATATGGTCTCAGTAAGTCAAGGCTATGGCAAAAAAGAAAAAAAAGATCTGCGTGTATGTATAAGTAGACTGCTTTGTATTCAAAGAAATGTACAAAATACGAGCCAATGCAATATGTGGTCCCTGATTGGATTCTTAAGCAAACCAGCCAAAACCATATTTTGTAAGTACTGGGAAAATTTGAATACGAACTAGATGCTAGATAGCTTAAAGGTACTGTTATTTGGAAAAGGGAAAAAAAGGTACTGTTATTTGGTTAGATTGGACGGATCATGATAATGCCTTCACTTTTATGAGATTCATATTAGGAACTGCAAATGAGATGGCCCGATTCTAGGCAGGCGTAATACTCAAGGCCACAGTAATTTACAAGAATTACTACAGACCAGCAGTTCTCAGCCAGAGACGATTTTGCCTCCCCCCAGCCCTGCCCTCTCCACACTCCAGGGACACACGGCACCATGTGGAGACCGTCTGGTTGTCTCAACAAGGGGAGCAGGGGGAGCAGAAGGCTACTGGCATCTAGTAGGTAGAGGCCAGGGAGGCTGCTGAACGTCTCACAAGGGACAGCACAGCCCCCACGATAGAGAAGTATCCAGCCCAAAACGTCCATGGTGTCCATGCTGAGGAACTCTGCTATAGACAAATTGTAAGGATGGAAATGAACTGAATGGCTAGATGAGGAGCATGTGATAAAGGAAATACAGTAAGATGTCAGCAACTGCAGAATCTACGCAGGGTTCACCTTATCGTTCACTTTTCTCCGTGTATGGAAACTTCTATTAACAAGATGTTGGGGAAAAAAAGATGAAGTATTTTGGTTATCTGTTTAACAGATTTTCAGTACAGATAAAACCAAGTTCTTTCAATTCTTAAAACAAGACCGATTAAACTTGTAGAAAACCCACGATACTCACTGACACGTTCATGTAAAAGCAGATATGGATACTTCAGGATTTCAAGAAGAGGAACTCGAAGCTTATTTTCAAAGTCTTGGCCGGGGAAGTCAAATAGTTGTGCCTCTCCATTGTTGTCTACTATGTACAATTCATCATCATCTCCAATTTCTGCCTTCATGGATTTTTCAAAATGATTTATGAGACGTAAAGTTTCTAATTCCCACAAAACCTACAAAAAAAGAAAAATGGATAAGCAAGCTTTATATCTTATTATCGGAAAATACTGGATGTCATGATCTTTTCAGAAAGCCTTCCCTTAAGTATAACAATTCAGAAATTTAAAGAAGTAAACTATCACATTAGATTTACTTGAAGAGGGGCGCCTGGGTGGCTTAGTCGGTTAAGCGTCCGACTTTCGCTTAGGTCATGATCTCGCGGTTCGTGGGTTCGAGCCCTGTGTTGGGCTCTGTGCTGACTGCCAGCTCAGAGCCTGGAGCCTATTTCAGAGTCTGTGTCTCCCTCTCTCTCTGACCCTCCCCTGCTCATGCTGGGTCTCTCTCTCTCCTAGAAATAAATAAAAAAAAAAAAAAAAAAAAAAAAAAAAAAAAAAAAAAAAAAAAAAAAAAAAAAAAAAAAAAAAAAAAAAAAAAAAGATTTACTTGAAGAAAACAGTCACTAGACATGGCCACTTTTATGATATGTGAGTACATACATGAGATGTATAAAAACTGCTTCCAAAAAGTTTTGCTATAAATATCTCAATATCCCTTATGAACTATTGAAAAGGGAATGAGGAGCACCTGGGCAGCTCAGTCGGTTAAGCGTCCAACTTCGGCTCACGTCATGATCTCGTTGCAGTTCATGGGTTCGAGCCCCGCTTCGGGCTCTGTGCTGATAGCTCAGAACCTGGAGCCTAGTTCCAATTCTGTGTCTCCCTCTCTCTCTGCCTCTCCCCAGCTCATGCTCTGGCTCTCTCTCTCAAATAAATAAAACATTTTTAAAAATTTTTTAAAAAGTTTATACCATTTACCCATGAACCAATAAAGAGAGAAAAAAAAGAACCACCAATGAAAAAAAATCACCCAAGCCATTCAGACCCACGAATATAACACTGTCAAATACAGGGACATAAAAAACAATGTAACGCTGTCAAATACACCGACATAAAAAAAACAAAGTGGAAAAAAAGCCCATCCATCATTTCACAAAATTGCTTTCTACCACAATGACTGAACGCTAGGGATCACAGAATTCTGCTTTAGGTTTTAACTCAACTTCATCAGTCAATCCTGTTTCCTGGACGCGTTCAGGCTTCGTCTCTGCCTAGTTACCGAGCTCTGAATACTACAGCCCAGCCCATCCGATATGAGTTACCTGATGCAAGAATGGCAGCTCGTCCCGGGCTTTGTGGTACTCGGCCACACACTCTAGGCAGTAACAGAGGTCTTCGTCAGCTGTCTGACATTCACTGGCGCGGGTCCTGGACGCATAGCGCTTCAGGAAGTCAACGGTGGAAATACCACCTGGCGTACACCAACAGCATGTGCTCATTCTGCACCTGCACGTGGAAAAGAAGGCACCTAAAGACTAAAGAAAAGAGACTTTCTGGGTGACCCTCATCTTCAACTTAAAATGTGCCTCCACCACATCAAGAATGTTCTGCTGGAAAAAAAAGAATGGTCTGCTGGTCAACTTCTCAATTATGGACTCAAATCTGAGCCTACTCTTAAAAACTTTACCTCTGGCATATAAAAAATACAATGAAACGAAAGAACTTTGCTAGTGAAAAAACAATCATGCAACACACAGCTGTACTAAAGAGGAAACTCCAAATGATGTGGTATCGCTGTTAAATCATAGAGACTAAGACTTATCAGTGCTTTCAAAGCATAGCTTTCAGAGGGTTCTAGTGATATACTGGAGCCAAGTCAAAGGTTAAGGGAACCTTTCACGTTCCTGGAAGCCATGTTTTTGAGAAATCCGTGGGAACATAAAATGCCGTTAAGTATTAACCCATACCGGAGAACCTTCCCTGGTTTGGAAAGCATAGGCACGTGAGGGGTGCCTGGGTGGCTCAGTTGGTTAAGTGTCCAACTTCGGACCGTGAGGTCATGATCTCACGGCTGGTGGGTTCCAGCCCGGGTCAGGCTCTGTGCTGACAGCTGGGAGCCTGAAGCTTGCTTCAGATTCTGTGTCTCCCTCTCTCTCTGACCCTCCCCTGCTCACGCTCGCTCTCTCTCTCTCTCTCTCCTAGAAATAAGTAAAACGTTAATAAAAAAAAGAAAGAAAGAAAGAAAGAAAGAAAGAAAGAAAGAAAGAAAGAACAGGCACATGAATCTGCACATAATATGTATGCATGAACTGCTGCCCGGAACACACTGCTCATCAACACGCTGTAAACTATTGTAATAGCTACAAATGGTAACAACCTACTGCTACTAAGTACAATTTCTGAGGTCTCCAACTTTTGGTCTGTGTAATAATACCAGAGCCTCCACCATCCAAACTCATGTAAAAAGGGTTAAGATAAAGTCATTTTCCACGTCCTAGCAGTCCCAAAAAGAGCAAAGTAACAGAAAGGTACCAGGAAACGAGAAAAATCCCAAGAACCACGTGCTAGAGCGTTGAACAAAGTTATGCTAATGAGGCAGAGGTTTATCAGAACTACTAATAGCAGTTAGTGGATTAGCAAATAGGATGGAAGCCAAAATCCAAAGAGATCTCCAACTCTAATGAGGTGTAATAAAGATGCTATATTTTTATCCCATACCAAATGGGTATAAAGGTAAACACAAAACTCACAATTAGGAAGCAGTGCGTGATGGCTAAACAAATCTACATGGAGAGCCTAGTCCTACCAAAAAGTCCTCAAAATGCTAAAGTCCGTGGGCATGTCAAAGGAACCCAGAGCCCAACCCGAAAAAGCTCTGGATGGCCAAAGCTGAAACAATTCGATCAAAGAACAAAAACAAAAAACCCCCACTCCAATAGTGGATTATAGCCTTCACACAAGGTTCGTACTGATGAAAAAGACCAATGAAAAAGACCAAAAGAATAAACAAAGGTAGGGGATGAAACTGACTAGCAGAAGAATTCCAAACAACAGGTATAGATACTCTGGGTTCCCAGAGGGGGAGCTTAATTCCACCCCATCAGTGAGTGTGGGCTGGACTCTGGGTGACTCACCACTCAAGGAGAGTGTGTGGAAAGGGAAATACTGTAACGTTACAGTGGAAACAGCTGGCAAACACACACTTAACCGCTGGCAAACACACATTTAACCAAGTGATCAAGGTTAACATCACAACTCCCCACATAAGGTTCTGAGGAAGGAACTTCCTTCTGCGCAGGCTGTACAGCATGTTACTCCAAAACCCACAACGCATGAGAGAAAAACAGACAAACCCAAAGTGAAAAAGATCTAAACAGCTGTCAGCCAGTCTGCAAAGGGAGGAAGAAAACCACAGCCAGGAGGGATGAAGCAAGTCTCGTTTCATATGAAAATGATCATTATTGGAGGGGCGCCTGGGTGGCTCAGTCTAAGCACCGACTTTGGCTCAGGTCATGATCTCACGGTTTGTGGGTTCGAGCCCCATGTCGGGCTGTGTGCTGCCAGCTCAGAGCCTGGAGCTCGCTTCTTCGGATTCTGTGTCCCCCTCTCTCTCTGCCCCTCCCCTGCTCATGCTCTATCTCTGTCTCTCAAAAAAATAAATGTTAAAGACAATTTAAAAAAAAATATCATTACTGGAAACTGGGCCAGGAAAATATCTAATGAGCCTGATCTTCAGAAACTTGACCTTAAACGAACTATCCAACGAATGTAAAATATCAGCCTCATGGGGAAAAAATTACAACCCCAACTGTACGCTGTACACTAAAAACTGAGCCCGTCTCATAACTGGATGGACCTAACCCACACATTCTCATCAGGGGCGAAATCATCCTCAAGAAGATGAAAACTGGTTACTAGGACACAAAAAGGTCCTACTTTTTTTTTTTTTTTTTAATGTGTAAGGCACAGATATGCCCAGGAGATATACAGTGTATTGGTGGTTTAAAATTCAGGGGAAATGCACAGGAAAGAAAGGTCTATAAAGTTTCCTTTCAGGGAGGGAGAGGAACAACAAAAGATTGAGAAAAATGACCCAAATCACTGAATACTTGGGTACAGAAACACAGCAGTGTGATGTTTTCAAATGCATTGTCATCCTAAAATTCAAGAGCACAAAACATCTGCTAAAGGGAAATCAATGACATCTTGACGGAAATTTTCTTTCACTGCTGAGGCTTTTTTGGCCTACTGCTAAAATAAGCTGATCTTCAAAAAAAATTCCTTATTGTCTTCTTACATCTACGATTAATTATATATAAATGCATAAGTAAAATCAAATACATGCATTTGTCTTGTGAATTTCTAAGATTAACTATTAATTGTAAACTTTGTTCACCCTTCTAAAAAGAACTCAGGGTGGCTTTCAACATTAAAGCTGAAAAAGACATCTAGATATGGACATTTAGAAAACATACAGAAAAGAACATTCAAAAGGAGATAGTGAAACTCATTTGGAAGAAAGGCTCACTAAATCCTAGATTGGGAGCTTTCTGAAAAGCAGAGGGGGGGGGGGGGAGTTAACACAGACCTCATTTGAAAAATAAGAAAGTATCTGGTTCAGCTGGAGAATCCTGCCCTTTCCTAACACTAATTCTAATTCAGTTAGATTTTACTAATACCCACCCCACGCAAGGGGGCTGCAAACAAAAAAAAGAGTACCCAGGAACAGAACACATTATGTTTGCAGAATATAAAATTATGTTATTCAAAGCAGTTTCTTAAGTCTAAAAAGCCCATATCATAATCTTAGAAGTTAAAAGTCTTCAGAAACTGTTTTTTCCGGTGATCTAATTCAATGTGGGGAGGGAACTTAGAGAAGATCTAAGAATAGAAAGTGAAACTCTCTGGAGAATTCTCAAACATCAGTTGTCTCAAGCAGGATTTTTGCACTCAATTGAACACTTTGGTAAAAATGCAATCAGCAGTTTGGAAAAAAAAACAAAAAAGAAACTTTCTACTAAGAACATTAAGGAGTCTTTTGTATTTCATTCAGTCAGAGAGCTAGCCTACTCCCATATCCCAGAAAGCAGAACTAACTTTTCTTGCTTGCCAAGTAAGATATGGGTACCATGGAGTCTTGAATACAGAAAACAGTGCTACAGGGCAGGTCAACAACAGAATCCGTTTCCACGATTCCTCTCCAAAGGCCATAAATGGGTGGTTACATCCCCAAATCTAAAATTACCATTGGCCTGATCATCTAAATGGCGTATATAAAATAATTTTTCTTTTAAGAAAAAAAGTGTTGGTAGGCGACCATAAATCCTTGAAGTTTCTGCACAACTCATCCTTCTGGAAGGTAGCTTTGTTCACTGTATCCGATTTGAACTGCTTGGGACCAGGACCCGGCCACAGACGGTGGTGTCCAAGGAATCCTCAAGCTGCAGACCAGATGTTAAGAGCCACACTCAGGGCATCAGCAACAGAGCTGACTCCTCAGTAATACAGGATGCTTCTCCGGGGGTACAGAGCCACTTTCCTAAAACCTGCCCTGGGGACATCTTTTCTCAGTATAATTAGCTGGCCAGACACTTCAAACAGCAATCACTTTCCTAGCTAACCTTCTTGAAAGAGTAATCTGGATTCAAATGCTTATTAGCTCCCTGGCAATTTGGCTTCTACCCTTAACATTTCACTGCATGTTTTCCCAGGGTCCCTAATCATCTGTTATCACCAAATCCAACAGATTCTTTTCATGCCTCCTCTAAAACGTATGAAAATACTGACCATGCATTCTTTAGCTAAGGCAACACACCATTCTCCTTTCACTTCCTCTACCCAACCTCCTTCGCCGAGATTCTTCTCGCTTCTTCCTTTTCCCCGCTTCAAACAGCAGTTTCCAAAGGCTTGCTTTAGGACTCTCCATTCCATTTCCTCTCTCTGGGTGACCTAATTCAAACCACCTCTTCCATTACTACTTACAACGGAAGAACAGATGTAAAGCCCTCAATGCAACACTTAGCTATATCTATAATTCAGGCACTCACTGAACGATAAAAATTCTAGCCAGGCCTACAGTCTCATATCTATTGAATACCCAGCTGCACCGAGTCAATCTCTACTCACCTGACGGGCATCTGAGGGATAAAAACAGAAAAAAATCCTTCCCTCAAATCCATCATTCGCCCTATATGCTCTCTACTCGTGACATTAACATCCCTTCTGTTTTCAAATCAGTAACCTGGTAATTACCCTAGGTCTTCTCCCTTGGCCTCATCTTAATGAATTCCACAGTCTATCTCCTTAACTGTATCTATATTCGCAGCAACACTGCCATCACCTTAGTATAATATACTGTCTGCATTTGTCTGAGTTACAGAACGTAATTACGGAAGTAATGTTTCTGGCTCTTATTTCATCCACCACCAATTCTTCCTCCAGCAGACTGCTGGAGGGCAAAGCAAACGCTGAGCTTTGAATTCCCACAGTTTGGAGATAAAATTCAAATTTGTGCACCTCACCGGGGAAGGCCCTCCGTTATCTGGCTCGCGGTCCTCCCTCCCTTGCTCGCTCGCTCTTCCTAAACTGCTTCGTGGTGCTTGGCATTTCCTGCCTTTATAGACGCTCCTTCACCTGCACTGAACACCCACCCTTCCTTCTCTCTGCCTGGCTCTCAACCCTAAACACAAATCACACTCACCAAAGGAACTTAGCAAAAGAAGAGATAAATACAACTCAATTTTTTAAAAGAATTTCACCAGTGGTTCTGATAAAATCTGAGAACCAGCCGTGTGCAATCCATCCATCCCTGGTATGGCATCTGGGGGCTTATCTGACCCTTCCTCTGACTTTACTCATACCCTCTGCGGACTGTGCATACCTAGCAGTGCACTTACCCGAGCTGCGTACTTTCTGTCTCCCACCTCTACCACACACTTGCTCCATCGTCCCCAGTTCTGAGTCTGTTGGGGCAAGGATCCGCTTTGTATATTTTTACTCCAGTGCTTGACACATACTCAGGGATGGAAAACCGTCTTAAATGTTTGTTTACGAAATAATTACCTGGGCTAACGGCCTACAGAGAAGTGATCCTCTCGGTCGAGATTCCTAGGCTTATTTGTGAATGGGTGAGGATGTGCACTCATGTATACCCAGCCTCCGGGCCCAAAAGAACATTTCTGAAACAGGACGGGGCGGGGGGGGGGGGGGGGGGGGGGGGGAACAAAGGGAACAAAACTGATGAAGTGGTTCTGACACTTCATCTGGGTTTCATTCACGCCCACTCTATGAAGCCGGGCCAGCTGGTACCAATCGGACAGACGGCTCAGGCTGAGTTCCGCCAGCCTGCCCGGGGGCACCCAAGTCTGCAGAAGCGGTGCAGCTGCGCTCCTGACCCCACAGGACACTGTCCCCGCGCACGGAATGGCTGGGCACTTCGACAAACAGCCCTCAAATCAGCAAGGGCGGGTAGATTCAGCCCTGGGTCCGTAACTCGTGTCGGCCACTCCAAGCCACGGGCTCTTTGCTCCTAACCGGGGGGTGCTTCCCCTACAAGCTCCGCGCCTGGTTCCCTGCGCGCCGAGCGCTTCTCGGGCCCCCAGCAGCCCCGGGTGGCGGGGAGGCGGCCAAAGACGCCCGCGGGCAGTCAGTGCTCCGGAGCCGTGGGGGGGGGGGGGGGGGGGGAGAAGGGCCCTGGGGCAGCAGGACGGGGCATTCTCCGGAGAGTCCCCGACTCACCCCCCCCAAAGGAACTACGCAGTGCCCAGACCAAAAGCAGCTCGCACGACACCGCGGAGACGACGGTAGGGGACGGTGCGGGGGTCCAGACGCCCTGGACCCCGGGGTGCAGGAGGCACCAGGGGGCGGGCTGCTCTCGCCCCCCACCTCGCCGCTGCCCCCCTGAGGCAAGCGGCCCCCCTCGCGCCGCCCCTCCCCCACCCGCCGCCCGGGCCTCACGCGCCGCGACTGTTACTCCACGCGGCCTCGCGCGCACCGGCCGCGCGCGAGCGCTCACGCCCGCCGGGCCCGCGACCTGGAGCCCGCCGCGCTCTCCTCACCCCGCTCGGCCTCGCTTCGGCCGCTAGCCCACCTCCATGCCTCGGCACAACAGTCGGCCGAGGGCGGATGTGCGGGCAGGCACCCGAGCGCCGCCGTTCCCACCCGGCCACCCAACCCGGCGGCGCGGCGCGCGAAGGCCCCGCCCCTCCCCCGCGCGCGGCGTCAGCCCAACGCAGGCCCCGCCCCGGCCGCTTTCTTGTTTTGGTGCGCGGAGGGGCGGAGCAGGGGAAGAGATGCACCGCGGCTCCGCCGGACGGCCCAGACGCCGAGAGCTGACGTCACTTCCGGGATGCCCGGCCCGGCCAATCAGGGGCTCCCTACGGAGGGCGGGGGGTTGGCCGAGGAACGCTTGAACTCGGCCCTGTCCAGGACTGCTTTCCGGTCAGGGTTGGCTTCCCCCCCCGCCCCCCCCCGATGCGCCTACCCCCAGGGCGATTTGGGTGCCTACCCTGCACCCTTTAACGGCCATTCCCTTTTCTTCTCTTTTTAATGACTCGGGTGTCTCAGCTCGGTGTGTTACGGATTGAGGATTTTTTCCTTTTACGTTTCCTTTAAATTCCCAAAGTATAATACGTAATTAACACCTACTGGGGGGGGGGTCATATACATCTCGTATTACGGAAAGGGGGTTCACGAAGTCCCGTAACAGCAAACACCATCGCAGAGCCTACCCGGTTTTCACCATCTACCACTGACCTTGAGGACGAGAAGCCGCCCCTGCCTCGACTGTGCGGGCCGAGGCGGAAACGCGGAAGAGGGACAGGGACAGACCAGCACCACCGATGCCGGAGCTGCGACTGGAGCCTCGTCTCGAGCCCCTGTAACTGAAGACTGAGCGGGGGGCGGGGCGAGGAAACTTCCAGCAAGGGGGCGGGGCCTGTCATAGCCCCGCGCGCGCAAGCGCGCGCTGCCAACAACCGTTGCCCACCTGGCTTCTCGAAGCTTCTGTAGCGTGAAGAGAGTCTGGCAGTAGGCACGCGAAGCACAGTGCAGTAGGCACGCGAAGGTTACAAAGCGGTTTCAGGCCCTGCTCGCTATGCGCGTCCTCATTAAAGGAGTGTGTTTATCCAATACTTGTTTGAAATGAGAACCTGGATGGCTATTGGGGAAAAAATCATTTTGAGAAATGCACAAAATGATAAAAATCACCTGGCTTTCGTATTTCCCTGACATCACCACTTTTACGTAGATCCTTGCAGAATGTATTACTTAGGTTTTTACCAAAGCTTACTTTCGTATGAAAGAGTTTTTTTATTTAAAATTTTTTAAATGTTTCCTTATTTTTGAGAGAGAGAGAGAGACACCAAGCACAAGCTGGGGAGGGGCAGAGAGAAAGATAAAATCCTAAGCATGCTGTAGGCTCTGAGCTGTCAGCACAGAGCCAGACGCGGGGCTCGAACCCACAAACCCACAAACCTTGAGATTGTGACCTGAGCTGAAGTCAGACACTTTAACCGATTGAGCCCCCCAGGCGCCCCTGAAAGAGTGTAAAAGTGCCAAACTCCTCTCCACCCTGTTAAGAGACAGAAGACCACCTGGGATCCTGAACGGAGTGGGGAGGGTAGTAGGTAGGGTGGGAAAAGGGTGGGGAAAAAGGGGTTGGGGGGGTGGGAGAAAGAGTTCGGGGAAAGTCAAGCTCTGCACTGACAGCATGGAGCCTGCTTGGGATTCTGTTTCCCTGTCTCTCCGTCTCAATAAATAAATAAATAAATAAATAAATAAGCTTTAAGAAAATATTTTCTCTCTCCCTTTGCCCCCTCCCTGCTATTGTGCGTGCATGCGCTCTATCAAAAAAAACAAGTGTTATTATTGGGAATTAGTAGATCTCCTCTGTGACTTATCTGAATAAGTCCTTTGACCATTTTTTGCTTTTTTTAAAAAAAGAGTTAATCTTTTTAGAGCAGTTTTAAGTTCACGGCAAAACTGAAAGTACAAAAATTTCCAGTATACTCACTGGCCCCCACATAGGCACAGCCTTCCCCATTATCGGCATCTCTCACCAGAGAAGTTCATTTATTACAACTGACTAACCTACACTGATTCATCATCACTACTCAGAGTCCATAGTTTACGTTGGGGTTCACTCTTGGTGTCATATAGTCTATCTGGTTTGGACAAATGTATACATAAGTATCCATCATAATATAGTAGAGGGCTTTCACTGCTCTAAAACCCCTCTGTGTTCTGCCTTTTCATCCCTCCCCAGTCTCACCCCCTGGCAACTGCTGATCTTTCTATGAACAAAACAGCTGTAAACATCTGTGTGTAAATTTTCTTATGGACAGAGGTTTTCAGCTCCTTTGGATAAATATCAAGCACACAATTACTGGATCTTGTGCTAAGAGTATGTTTAGTTTTGTGAGAAAACACCAAACTGGCTTCCAAAGCGGTGGCACAATTTTGCATTCCCAGCAGCATTGAGAGTTCTTGTTACTCCACAGCCTCGCCAGTATTTGGTGGTGTCAGTGTCCCAGATTTCGGCTAGTCTCATAGCTGTGTAATAGTACCTCATGGTTGTTTTAATTTTCATTTCTTTGATGACACATGGGACATTTTTTCATATACGAATTTGCGACCTGTATTGTCTTCCTTGGCAAGGTGTCTATTCAAGTCTTTTGCCTATTTTTCATCAGGCTGTTTGTTTTCATTTGTTTGTTTTTTAATGCTTTTGAGGAGCTGTTTGTTTTCTTATTGTTGAATTTTAAGAGTTTTGGATAACAGTTCTTTATCAGCTGTGTCTTCCTTATCAGCTGTGTCTTCCTTATCAGCTGTGTCTTCTTTATCAGCTGTGTCTTTTGCAAATAGTTTCCCAAGTCTGTGGCTTCTCACTCTCTTGACATTGTCGTTCACAGAGCAGAGGCTCTAATTTTAATGAAGTCCCCAGCTTATCAATTATTTCTTTCATGATCATGTCCTTGGCGCTGTATCTGAAAAGGTCATCACCATACCCAAGGTCATCTAGTTTTTCTCTAACATGTTATCTTCTAGGAGTTTGATAGTTTTGCATTTTACATTTAGATCTATGATCCATTTTTTTAATAATTTTATTTATTTCTAGGAGAGAGAGAGAGACAGCGTGAACAGGGGAGGGTCAGAGAGAGAGAGGGAGATACAGACTCCGAAATAGGCTCCAGGCTCTGAGCTGGCAGTCAGCACAGAGCCCGGCGCGGGGCTCGAACCCACGAACCGCGAGATCATGACCCAAGCGAAAGTCGGACGTTTAACTGACTAAGCCACCCAGGCGCCCCATATGATCCATTTTGAGTTAATTTTGGGGAAGGATGTAAGCGCTCTCTCTCTCTCTATATATATATATATGTACTTATATGTGGATGTCCAATTGTTCAGCACCCCTTGCTGAAGAGACAATCTTTGCTTCACTGTACTGCTTTTGATACTTTGTCAAAGATCAGTTCATGGTCAGATCATTTGTGGGGCTCTATTCCTCAGCCCTCTGTGTGTTCCAGAGATCTACTTTTCTATCTTTGACCATGATGACACTATCTTAATTACTGTGGCTTAATTAGCATAGCTTTACATCTTAATTATTTAGTTACTGTAGCTTTAAGTCTTGAAGTTGGGTAGCCTCAGTCTTCTGACTTTGTTATTCTTCAATACTGAGTTGGCTATTCTGTATCTTTTGCCTCTCCATATAAATTTTAGAATCAGTTTGTCAATAGCCACAAATAACATGCTGGGAGTTTGACCAGAGCTGCATTGAGTCTATAGGTCAAGTTGGAAAGAACCAACATCTTGACAATATTGAGTGTTTCTATCCATGAACATGAACTAACCATCTATTTACTTCTTTGATACCTTTCATCAGAGTGTTGTAGTTTTCCTCATATAGATCTTGTACATATTTTGTTAGAGTCATACCAAAGCATTTCACTTTGGGGGATGCTAATGTAAATGCTACTGTGTTTTTAATTTCAAATTCCACTTGTTCATTACTGGTATATAGGAAAGCCGTTGAGTTTCGTATAAATCCTACAACCCTGCTATGATCTCTTATTGGTTCCAGTTTTTTTGTCAATTCCTTTGGATTTTCTACATAGATGATAAAGTCACATGTGAATAAAGATGGTTTTATTCCTTCCTTCCCAGTCTGTTTACCTTTTATTTCCTTTCCTTGCCATAATGCATTAACAAGGACTTCCAGAATGATGTTGAAAACAATGGTAAGAAGGGACATCCTTGGGGATCCTGAGTGGCTCAGTCGGTTGAGTGTGTGACTTCAACTCAGGTCATGCTCTTGCAGTTTGTGAATTCGAGCCCCACATGAGCTCACTGCTGTCAGTGCAGGAACCCACTTTAGATCCTCCGTCCCTCCCCCCTCTCCCTCAAAAACAAATAAAACATTTAAAAGGCCGGCGGGGGGGGGGGGGGGGGGGGGGGGGGGGCGTGGCGCGGCATCCTTGCCTTGTACCTGACCTGACTGGGAAAGCTTGGAGTTTCTCATCACTGAGTGGGACAAAGCTACATACGTCTTTCCTCTGGCTTCTTTCAAAATTCTTATTTATCTTAGATTTCCTGTAGTTTGAAAATGATATGCCTAGTTGTGGTTTTTTGGCATTTATATTCTTGGTGTTCTCTGAGCTTCCCGGATCTGTGATTTGGTATCTGACATTAATTTGGGGGGAAATTCTCCATCATTATTTCAAATATTTCTTCTTTCTTCTTCCAGCAGCCCCATTATGCATACCTTACACCTTTGGTGGTGGTACCACAGTCCCTGGATACTGTTTGTTTTTCAATCTTTGTTCTCTTTGCTTTTCAGTTTTGATAGTGTTTATTGCTATATCCTCAAGCTCAGATTCATTTCTCAGCCGTGTGCAGCCTACAACTAAGCCCATCAAAGGCATTCTTCATTTCTGGTACAGCGTTTTTAAATTTCTAGGCCTTTTTAGTTCTTTTGTAGAATTTCCATCTCTGTACTTTCACTGCCCATCTGCTCTTGCACGCTATCTACTTTATCCTTTAGAGCCCTTAGCACTTCAATCATAGTGGTTCTAAATTCTCAGTCTGTTAAGTCCAAAATCCTGGCCATGTCTAGTGCTTATGCCTGGTCTGTCTCTTCAAATTGTGT